CAAAGATATTACAAGGAAAGAAAAGTAAAGATTAACATCTTTTATGAATATAGGGCACAAAAATAATCATCAAAACAACAGCAAATTAAATCAGGCAGTTTATAAGAAGGAACTATACATTATGACCAAGTACATTTTATCCCCGGAATATAAGGCTAGTTCAACACTCAAAAATCAATTAATGTTCTCGGTGTGTAACAGCCCCTTGGGGGACAGGACACAATTACAAGAGGGACTGTACCTAACAAATGCAATCAGTGTAATCTGGTTTCTTGTACCCTCAGTGAATCCCCAACAACAACAACAAAAATAAATTAATGCACTTCACTGTGTCAACACAGGAAAGAAGAAAATAGTATGTGATCATTTCAACAGAAACACAAAATCCACTTAACAAAGTTCAACATGTAATAATTACTTTAAAAATCTCAGCAAACTGGGCCGCGCCTGTAGCTCAGGGGGTAGGGCGCCAGCCCTATATACCAAGGGTGGAAGGTTCAAACCTGGCCTCGGCCAAACTGCAACAAAAAAATGGCCAGGCGTTGTGGCGGGCACCTGTGGTCCCAGCTACTCGGGAGGCTGAGGCAAGAGAATCAATCGCCTGAGCCCAGGAGTTGGAGGTTGCTGTGAGCTGTGTGCCACAGTAATCTACCAAGGGCAATAGAGTGAGACTCTGTCTCTTTAAAAAAAAAGGGGGGGAGGGCTACAGCTCAAGCTAAGATAATGTTTAATGGTGAAAAACTGAATCCTTTCTTCCTAATACAGACAAGGATGTCCTCTTTCACCACTCCTAGTTGGCATTTTAGTGGAGAGCTCAACCGTGGGAATAAGGCCCAGAAAAATGCAAACATAAATAAGTAAATAAATAAATAAATAAATAGCATACAGATTAGAAGAGAAGAAATAAAACTCTCCCTGTTTGCAAACAAGATAGAGTACATTAAAAATCAGGAGGAAGGCAGTGCCTGTGACTCAAGGAGTAGGGGGCCGACCCCATATGCCAGAGGTGGTGAGTTTAGACCCAGACCTGGCCAAAAAAAAAA